AGCTTCCCTTCTAGTGATGGAAACTAACAGGTGAATAAAAAGTCTAGGTTGTCAGAATCAGGGTTGTGAAGAACACAAGAGATTGAGGCGGGGCGCCGGCTGCCTCCTTGGCCTGGGAGGGCAGTCAGGCGGGGCTCTGAGAGCTGGATAAACCTGAAGGGCGTGCAGGAGGCAGCCACGTGGGGCCCTTGGGATGCATGTGCACTCTCTCCTCTCGATGGGGAGCTACGATATTCTGGGATGAACGTGATCAAGAACTTGGCCGGGGATCCATCACTCCTGGGCTGCATGTCTGGTCAGACAAGACCACGTGTGAATGTGCCTCATTTCTTTAGGGGACCCCAGCTCTCTGGGGTTGACAAGGGAGGATAATGAGTTAAGACCCTAATTAGAGGGAATTGTTATTGTTGTTGTGCACTGTTGACTTGGAAGCAACTAATAGTAGCAGGTTTTCAAGGCCGTATCTTGCACGAGAGGAGACTGTCAATCTTTCTTCTGTGGACCAGGTAGTGGACTCAAACTGTGTGCCTTTGGGTTGGCAGCACAACTCTTTACTTCTAAGGCACCAGATTAGAGGGTGTGAGAAACAGAAAGAGACTTTTCAGAGCCAGCAGAACCTGGCTGGGCATCTGAACTGGAGAGGAGGGTGGAGTCACAGGTCATTTACCTGGATTTTGCCATGGTTCTGTTTACTCCCTGATACTCATTTAATCAGTTGTAAAATGGGTACATTCTCAGGGAGAGGGAATTGAAATGAGTGGATGTTTACATCAGGGGGAGAAGTGCTTGGTGTCCACGTAGAGAAGGATGAGGAGAATTGCCCTTGGAGGTAACATTGAAGAGGTTTGCTTGCTGAGTAGGGCTGAAGCCCAGCCTGTCTCCAAGGACAATGAGGAGAGCTGATCTGGGGGGTTCAGGTTACAGTGGGGTTTGGGAGATGCATGCAGACTTCTCCTGTCCCCAGGTGAGGACAGTGAGACCTTGGATCAGTCAACTCTCTTTTCTGTGAGAAATTTGCTCAGAGGCATCCAGACAAATGTCCCCAGGCCGAGGTTTCTGTGTCTTCGGGACTCCAGTGGGCTCCCACGCTGTGGTCCAGGCTGCAGATGCCCGGGAACGGACCAGCTTCGTGAGTTCCCAGAAAGGATGCCGTCACCTCAGCCTGACCGCCTCCTGAGAAAGCGGAACCTGTGGTTTGACTTCGGCTGAACCGGCCAGAACAGGAATCAGGGCCTTCTCAGCTGAGCTCTGAGAACCCCCTCCTCGGCTCTGAGAACCCCCTTCTCGGCTCTGCATTTCAGTTTCTGATTTGGTGGCAGAATGGAAGGGGAGGAACTCGGGGCGCAGGGGCCTCGTCCTCCTTCCAGCTTCCCGAGATCGTGGCTGTCCTACTATCTGGAAAGGTCCCCTCAGCACTGGGCACTAGGGCCTTCGTAGCTGCCTGTCAGAGGTGGGCCAGCCTCCCCAAAGGGTAAAGACTCTTGGGAAGAACCCTAGTGGATTTTATCAGGAAACAGGGCCTACCTTTATCTCCTGCCAACGTGACTGTGTGGATGATGGAAACTGTTTACTGAACTTCTTAATCCCAGAAAAGGAAGCTAAAGTTCGGAGAGGTTAAGCAGTTTCCTCAGAGTCACACAGGGAGCCAAATGGCTGGTGGGAATGATGAGGTTGGAGGCTCACACACCAGAACAACTCTATGCACTTGATAATGGCGTGACAATGAACAAAAGCATTTTAAACTATTTACGCCTGTCTTCCTTAAAAGCATGTTAGAATAACGCAATTACTTCTCAGGCTCCCACTGTCTAAGAAGAAAATACCAGAGCTGCCCACTGTGGTACCCACAGGCCAGAGCAACTAGCAAGCAGCATTTGTGGTCCAAATAGGGACTGGCTACTGTGGGGACAAAAAGGGGCCCTGGTGGTATGGTGGCTAAGTGCTTACCTGTTAATTGGAAGATCGGCAGTTTGAATCCACCAGTCACTTATTGTTATTGTTGTTGCTGTTGTTGTTGTTATGTGCCATCGAGTCACCTGAGACTCACAGCAACCCTATGTACAAGAGCACAAACCCTGCTCTATCCTGTGCTAACTTTATTGTCTCTGACACACCTACCCCCATTGCCTCAGTGACTGAATCAATCCATCTCATCGAGGGTCTTCCTCTCCTGTACTGTCCTTCCACACTCCCAAGCATGATGTCCCTCTCCAAGGACTAACATGTTTGTAACATGTTCAAAGTATGCTAGATGATGCTTCAGAATCCTTGTCTCCAAGGAGCAGCCTGTTTCATCCTCTATAGGATGAACGTGTTTATTCGCCTGGCAGTCCATCGTGTAAATTCAACACTCTTCTCCAATACCACAGCTCAAAGGCATCAGTTCTCTTTCTATCATCCCTAGTCGTTGTCCATTGCATGGCAAGCAATTGCAAAGACTATGGCCTGGATTGGGCACACCTTAGTCTCCAGACTGATGTCGTTGCTCTTCAGTACACTGGAGAGGTCCTTGACATCTGACTTTCCCGATGCAATTTGTTTCTTGATTTCCTGACTGCTGGTACCAAGAGTGTTGATTATGGAGCCAAGCAAACTAAATCTGTTAACAGTCTCAATCTCTTCACCATCCATACTGATGCTGCCGATTGGCCCAACCAGCCAACAGGAATAGGGGGAAAAAAATCTCCTTATGGAAATAGCACATCCGTGGGAACCTATGAGGCATTTCTACTAAGTCCTATAAGGTCTCTGTGAATCAGAAATAACACAACAACAGGCTTAAATTTTTTCAGGTGAATATAAAGCATACTTGGAAGCATGAGTGGCATGCACTTCCTAAATGACATGCCTCCAGAAACTATGAACTTTGATAAATGTCGATATTTGTAGAGGAGCTTCAGGCCTTTAGTTCATAGGGTCGCTATGAGTTGTGCTCGATTTGATGGCAATCAACAACAACAATAAAGTGAACACTGTATTTCATACACTGTATTTCCCATCATGAACTCAGGTGGCCTGGTGGATAAAGCATCACCAACTCAAAAGCAAATGGTTCAAAATCATCCCCTGCTCTGTGGGAGAAAGATGGGCAATCTCCTCCCCTGCAATTTACAGACTCTGAAAATCTGCTGGGTGGGTCAGCTATGGGCAGGTTCCAACTTGATGGCACATAACATAACAACAGCAACAACCTCCCATCACACATGCATTCATAGACATGATTTTTTGTACCACATTAAGACATGATGTTAAAAAAAAAGTAAAAATCTCATTATTAATTGAGGCATTGATCATGTGTAGGAATGATGCTACGTTGAACATATTGGAGTAAATAAAATAACCCAGTGGGATTAATTCTACCTGTTCATTTTGCCCTTTCTTCAATATCTCACTCATTACTGTTGAGTCAACCCAACCGATAACAGGTCCTATGATGAGTTTCTGAGGCTGTAAATCTCAGGGGAGGAGGGATTGCCCCTCTATCTCCTACACAGCCCCCGGTAGATTGGAACCACCAGCGAAGTATGGCCTTTGGATATTCGGCCCACCTCCCCTAGGACTAGACCACCAGAGCTCTTAGCATCCCTGCGTGGCACAGATGATGAGCAAATGTGGCTGTTAACAGGAAAGTTGCAGAGTCGAGTTCACCCAGAGGTGCCTCCCAAGAAAGGCCTGGCAATCCACTCCCAAAGATCAATCCTTGAAAATGCTGCAGGGCACAGCTGTGTGCTGAAACCCACAGGGTGGGCATCAGGCAGAGTCTGCATGAAGGCAACTGCTGATGGTGGATAGAAAATCTTAAACTGCGATTACAGTTGGCCTCAAGTCTTTTCTATAGGTTGTCACCACCCCAGCTGGGCTTGGGTCCGGGAGGATGAGGTGGTGCAGAGCCAGGGGAGCCTGACCAAGGAGCAGGAGGATGTTGTGGACACACGTCCTTCGCTACCAGGCCTGGTGTGTGAGGGACAGTGCATGGACAGGGTTGGAAAGACTATTGTTATTAAGTGCTATGGAATTGACAACTCCCAGAGATCCTACGAACAACAGATTTGAATCTCACCCTAAACTGCACCATCCTCCCTGACACATTCAGATCTACTCAAAGTCATGACCGTGGGGTCAGTACCACTCATAGCTGACCCTGCAGCAGGTTTTCTGTGGCTGTAAATCACCCAAGAAGAAACTGCCCATCTTTCTCCTGGTAGATTCAAATTGCCTACTGGTATTACTCAAGCCATTAGTGCCCCCTCAGTCAAACATAAAACCAAGAGGTCAAGGAAAGGTGTGGCCTTTGGAACTACATCGTCCCGGTCTCTGTGTTACCACCAACTGGCTGTGTGGTTGGCTAAGCTGCTTAGCCTCTTGGAGTCCAGTCTCCTCACCTGTGAAATGCAAACACAGCATCATGCCTGCCTGTTGTTGTTGTTGTTGAGTACCACTGAATCGGAACCGACCCATAGCTGACCCGCCGGTGGGCTTTCAGAGGCAGTTAATCACACAAGAGGGGATTGCCCATATTTCTCTTGTGCTGGTGGTCTCCAACCTCTCACCTTCAGGATTGCAGTGCAGCTTCTTACCTCTAGGCCACCAGAGCTCTCTCTTGCCTGCCTAAAAGACTCAAAGTGTGGGTGAGTTCTGGTGGCCTAGTTGTAGGAAGCTACACTGCAATCCCAGAGGTGAGAGGTTCGAATCCACCAGATGCTCTGCTGGAGAAGGAGGAACAATCTCCTCCTGTACCAGTCAGATCTGATTTGATGGTACACACAACAATTTTTTTAAAAAATTTTAAAAAGAGCCAAAGTGGGCATAGCTCCTAATGCAGTACTTGGAACAGTCAGAGCCCAGAAAAGTTAGATGTCAATCATGAAGGTGCCTCGATGCATCCTAGATATTGGGATACTTTCTTTTTGGACCAACAGTGGTTGGGATCAGTGCTTTTTTGGATGCCCCAGATGTCCACAGCCTGAGGCCCTGCTGCCCTCATGCCTTGCCACGCTCACCTGGTCCACGGGTAGAAGTGGGCAGGTTGGCGGTTGGCCCGAGCAGATGCAGCAGCCTCCACAGGGGTGGGGCCCCGCGTCTTGTCCGCCAGGCTCTGCTCGATGGCCATCTGGACCAGCTCATCCTCGCTCAGGCTGCTGTACAGGGTGTACTCCTCATGCCCAATGGCACGCTGGTGGCCGCGGGCACTAATCTCCGTAGCCATGCTTTTCTTCCTCTCACCCCGGCCGGCCTCCAGCAGAGGGCTTCAGTGTGAGAGGCAGCAAGTCAGAAAGCCCTGTGGGGAAACAAGGACCGCTCTGGTCACTGGTGATTTCATATATTCAGCAAGCATGCATCTTTCTTTCATTGATTTGTGTGACCATATGACCTATTCAACTACCCATCTACTTATTTACTTTCTACCTATCCATCTATTCATCTTCTCTACCTATCTATCCATCTGCTTATCTGTTCATTGAACCTCTCATCACCTTTCATCCATCCTTCCATCCGTCTACCCATCTTCATATCAATTCGTACATCTATTGCATCATCCACCCTTTCAGCTTTCACCCATCTATCCAGCCTCTCTTCTACCCATCTCTCCACTTACCCACTCATGTCAGGACAGCACAGGGCTCAGATCTGGTGTTTATAGGGTCGCTATGAGTCGTATTCGACAGACAGCACATAATAACAACAACAACATCCATTCTGCCACCCACCCATCCATCATCCCCCCCCCCAGTCATTCACCCACTCAGTCTCCCCACTCCAGGCAGCCACCTCACACATCCATTGACTTCACGTTGATGCCTTGAGCACCTGAGGACCAGGCCCTCTTCTAAGGACTGAGAATGCTACAGCGATCCCTGCAGGCAGAGGCCCTGCCTTCCTGGAGCAGACCCAGCAGCGTGGACATTCCTTTCTCACAGTCCATCCAAGCGCCCTGGCTCTGCTCCATTTCTCACATTGTCCTGGGACTGAGAATACTAGAAAAGAATCAGACACAGACCTACCCTTGAGATGGCAAAATAAACAATTAAAATAATTAGGGCTGTTCATTCCAGAAACTGTATTCTTAGAAAACAAAACAAAACAAATGGACTGTGAGTTGTGTTAGTGAGATGACTGTCTTAGGAAAGGAAGTAGAATAAATTAAGGCTGATTTTTGCTGTTGACTGACTGCCATGCAGTGTTGATTGCAAGTCAGTGCTTCTGGCCTGTGAGGTCATGTGTTCAAACCACACCAATTCACTGCCTTTAAGTCAATATCAGCCCATGACAACCTTCCTTTGGACTCTGAGGTTGTTAACTCTCACAGGAGGAGATCACCATCTCTCCCCTGAACAGCTGGTGGATTTGAACTACCACACTTTCAGTTAGCTTGGTACATGTAACACATTACGCCACCAGAGTGCCTTGTGGTCTCGTGACGTCGAAGTCGATCATGACTCAACACACCCTATGAACAACAGACACGATCCTTTCCCTGTCCTGCACCGTCCTCACAATCTTTGCCAAGCTCAAGTTCATTACTGCAGTCATTGTATCTTTCCATCTCATTGACCATCTTCCTCTCTTTCACTGACCCTCTGCTTTTCCCAGCATGATGTGTTTTTTTCCCAAGAATTGGTGCCTGCTGATAACATGCCCAAAGTATGTGAGACTTTTGAGAGTGCCTCAAACTATAGTGTTATAAATCATCTTGCCTGATCAACATTCACTGTTCACCCCTCTCTCCTAAAGAGGCTAACTCCCCCCTCCTCCTCACTGAGGTTGGGCTTGGCCATGTGACTTGCTCTGGCCAATGGATGTTAGTGGACATGATGCACGTAAGAACTTGACAGGAGCTGGTGCCCGGGGGCTTGCTCTTGATATCTGCCATCACCAAGAGAGAGGTGTCTTCTCTGGAGTCACTTCCCCTTCAGCCTGGCCCCGGAGTCCACTGGGGCAACCAGAGGTCACCCTACAAGGAGAAACCTGGCCCAGGAGAGTCAGCAGCCTGGAGGTGAGTCTCCCAACCTCAGTTGACCTGGACCAGCCAGTATACAATTGATTTACTATCAAGTTCAATGTTAAATCAGTGCTTATATCCAAAAGATCAGGCCAGCCACTTCACAAAGAGGCTCTCCAAACAGTCAATAAACAAATGCAAAAGTACTTAGTAGTATTCATGTCGGAAAAAATTCAAAAGAAAACACCAGAGTGACACCACTGCATCCATCAAACCTAAAGCCAAAGCCAATGACACTTGATCAATTCTGACTCATGGCAACATTACAGAACAGAGCAGCACTGTCCCCACAGGGTGGACCTCTTCAAAGAGCTAACAAGCAAAGATGTCCATTTAAAGACTAAGACTAAACCACGGTCTTTTCAATTACTTGCTATGTATCTGAGATTAGACAGCAAATAAAGGTGGCAGGAGAAGAATTCATGCCTTTGAGTTATGATGCTGGAGAAGAGTCCTAAACATCCCCTGGACTGTCAAGAGAACAAATATGTCTTGGGGAGGGTGCAGCAAGGATGCTCCTTCGAGGGAAAGATGATGAAGCTTCGTCTAACATGCTTTCAGCATGTTGTTAGGAGAGGCTAGGCTTTGGAAAAGGACATCGTACTTGAAAGGAGCATCAGTGAAGCAGAGGAAGACCCTTAAGAGGTACATTGACACAGTGACCGTAACAATGGGTGTGGCTGAGACAATGAGGATGGTACGGGATAGGGCAGGGTTCAGATAGGTCATTCATTGGGTCGATATGAGTCATGGGCAACTCGACTGCACATTAAAAACACAACAACAATATTTACCAAACCAGGCTGCCACGTCTTTATCCAGCAGAGCAGCTGGTGGGCTCAAACCACCAGCATTTAGGTTACCAGCTGAGTGCTTTATCTGCTGAGCCACCAAGGCTTCTTTATATGTCCCCAGTGCATCAAGTGAAAGAAGGAAAATATAAAGAATTCTCATCACCACGGGTGGGAGTGTAAAGTTGATAAAAGCATTCTGGAAACCCATTATTTACTAAAATGGAAATACACGTGTACTATGATCAAGAAATTCCATTCCTAGCTATATATACACCCAAGACACGTGTGCACCAAAGGACAAGTTCAAGAATATTCGTAGCAGTTCTGTGCAGCTGGAAACCACTCAAAGGGACATTTGAAGGTCTGATGGAATACCTGAATACACTGTGGTGTGTTTCCAGGGGAGACAGCACGCACCAATGAACGCACAAATCCTGCCTACGCACCGCAGCAAGATGAAGCTCACTAGAAACATTGAGTAAAAGGAACTAGATAACAGAGAATGTATACACAGGACTTTTTTTTTTCCTATAATTATATTTTATTAATTTTCATAAACATTTACAGAGATTTTGGGCTTCCATTCATTCATTGTTGCACTATTCTCTCTACCCTCCTCCCAGTTTGTTCTTGTCCAAATGCCACAGTGCTTGTCAAAGCCAGTTCTGATTAATCTTCTTTGTCAGTGTGTCCTTTGCCATTCCCTATCACTCCTCCCTGAGAGAGACTTCACCCTGAGTCATAAGGAAAAGGGGACGGCGTATTCTCTTAGCTACTTCCTGCTGAAAAGGGACGCTGTGGGTTTCAGGGTGAAGATCTTCTCTCACTACTCTAAAGGGCCCCTTTGGCAGTAGGAAACACATAGACTATTATGGAGATTGATTTTGGAATTCAGATGCACTCTTATTGATTGTGCTTGGCTGTACATGTACATATCCTTCAAGATGTATCATGGGGGTGTTGCAACCTAGAAGACACAAATTTGACTAACAAGTTATAAGTACATGAGTCCAAAAATTATGGAAAAGTAAAAGAAAAGATTCTTTCATTGTTTTACAAACCCTCCCCCAGGTCCCCTCCACCATGTAGCCCTCGTTCTAGTCTCCTGTGATGACAGAAATACCTAGTTATATCTCTCTTTTAAACGGTTTTCTCCCTCCTCTGTTTCCGTGCAGTATACATTATTGAACCCATCTTACTCAGTCTCTCCCCAACCCCAAGGACAGTCCCATTCTACAACAGTGGCATCATGTAATATTTGTCCTTTTGTGACACAGGACTTTTTTGTCTAAAGTTCAAGAACAGGCAACCATAAAGAGCAACAATGCCCTAATACAAGCTGTAATGGTATGACTTCAAAGCATTGCTGCTGCTGTTGTTAGGTACTGTTGATGTATGATCCGTAGGGGCCCTGTGAACAACATCCGGTGTCATCCTCACACCTCCTGACACACTAGAGCCCATCGCAGCAGTCACCGTGTCAATCCATCTGATTGAGGGTCTTCCTCTACTTCGTGGACACTCCATCAAGTTTCACATCCCTCTCCAGGGGAGAACTCCTTCTAACAATATGCCCGAAGTATGTGAGGCCAAGCCTCATCATCTTTGCCTCCAAAGAGCACCCTGGCTGCACCCTTTCCAAAACATATCTGTTTGTTCTCTTGGCTGTCCATGGATGTTCAGTACTCTTCTCCAACACCACAGCACAAAGGCATCTTCTGGCATCCTTATTCATTGTCAAGCTCTTCAGATGCATAGCAAGTGATAGAAAGAACATGGCCTGAATCAGATGCATCTTAGTCCTCAAACTGTTAACTGACATCATTGTTAGTTGTTGTTGTTGTTGTTGTTGTTAGGTGCAGACAAGTTGAGTACGACTCATAGTGACCCTGTGAACAAAAGATCTGAACCCTGTTCTCTCCTGTGCCATCCTCACACTTCCTGACACACAAAGGCCCATTGTAGCAGTCACTGTTGTCAATACACTTGGTTGAAGGCCTTCCTCTCCTTCGGCCCTCCACCCTTGCCAGCAGCATGTCCTTTACCAAGTGATAATTCCTCCTAGCAACATGCCCCAAATATGTGAGGTGAAGCCTGTTGTTGTTATTGTTGTTATGTGCCATCGAGTAGCTTGTGACTCATAGCGACCCTATGTACAACAGCCCTAAACTCTGCTCTGTCCTTTGCCAATTGCACTGTCTCCGACACTCCCATCCCAATTACCCCAGTCACTGAATCAATCCACCTCATAGAGGGCCTTCCCCTCCTGCGCCGTCCCTCCACTCTCCCAATCATGATGTCCCTCTCCAAGGACCGGTCTCTCCTCACAACATGTCCAAAGTATGTTAGACGGAGCCTCTCTTCTCAATAATTGGAGAGGTCTCAAATGGCAGACTTTCCCAGTACAGTACA